CCTGGGGCACGGCCACTCCCCGCTCTGCCCCCAAGGGTGCCCCACACAGCGCTGGGGCTGGGACCTTGGCGGTGTGGGCACAGAGAGTTCTGGGTGGGGCAGTGTTTTCTGGTGGACAGCGTGCACCTGCACTCTGAAGGGTCAGGCTTTGAAGGATAAAATACAGTGAGGAGAAACTGTAGGGACTTTTTTGTTCCTAAAAGGAGAGGCTGAGGAAATGGCTCATAGGTGTAAGGGCCCACCCAGGGAGCACAAGGTCCTGAGTTCAATGCCCAGTACCAAAAAAGAAAGGTTGAAAATTGTTTCTCTGCTTCCAGGAGCCTGGGCTACAGAGGAGTGACACAATTTGCCGAATCCCACACTGATTTAATTTCAGTGTACAACCCAGTGAAGTGCTTCCAGGTGCAGGGAAAGGAATTGAAACCTCACATGTGCGCGCTGCCTCTCGCACATGGGGTGTGGGGGGTGGGGTGGAGGATGGGTCTGTTTGGGTGCTCGGGCTTGAACCCGGGCCTCTGTGACTAAGCCCACATTTGTCACTGAGCTGCACCCTCTGGCCCCTTGGTGTTGCTTAGTTATTTTCTGGAGCCCTGTCTTGCTATGCAGTTCACACTAGCTTGGAATTTACTAAACAGCCCAGTCTAGCCCTGAACTTGTGGAGGTCCTCCCAAGCGCTGGGATTAAAGGTGTGCGTCAACACACCTACCTTGATTTTTCTTAATTCTTGGAGTTCACAATCTTTTTTATTCATTGCATTAATATTCCCAGTACCTCATATGTAAAAAGGGTTCCACTTCTATTATTGCTGTGGAAGGCTGCAGGCTGAATAATCCTTTGTTTGTCATACGAAAGAACTTACTGACTTCAACTAAGGATTCAGGCATACTGGCTGCTTGGCACACCACTCCTCATATTTTATTTTTTCTTTCATTTTCTGTGGTGCTTGGGGACCAAACCCAGAGCCTCACAAGTGCTGGGCAAACTCTGCCATTCAACTACACCTTCAGTCTTGCTTTCCCCACTTCAGCAGCAAGTATTAAAGTAACATAGTTAAAATGTAGTTAAAGTTTTGCATGCTAACTGCAAGATGAAGCTATCAAAAGCGGCAATAATGTCTTTGTTGTTGGATGGTCCACAGGAGAAACACAGGCAATAAGCACTGTTTCTGCTGGTGTCAATTTTCTCTGCTCATGCAAGTACAAAATCTTTTTGTTCTTAATAGATCTCATATATGGAAAGTCTTTTTTTTTGGTGGGGGGGACAGGGTCCTCTTGCCTCAGTCTCCTAAGTGCTAGGATGACAGGCACCACCACCTGTCCGGCTTAGTCATTCATTTTCTATACAATTTTGGGTTGTTTCTAGACTTTTCTGACCCTGATTTCCTTATAAATAAAACAGTGACATTTATGTGAGAATTGATAAATCACTTAAAACATACATTATTAAGAAATGGTGGCAGGGGGCCAGGGTCTGGCAAGCACAAGGGCCTGAGTTCAATCCCTGGTTCCGCCAAAAAAAAAAAAAAAAAGGTGGCAATTACAATTTTTTAGATTCTGAACCACTAAAGTCCTATTCTGAGATTTGTTAAGAATGAATATCAGGGCTGGAGAGATGGCTCAGTGGTCTAAAGCACCGACTTGAAACAAGCTTGGCAAAGCACAGGGACC